AATATTGAGACTTTTCTGTTTATAGAAATTATAAATGTTCAGCATAGAAAATATTAAACACAGTAAGGAAACAAAATTAATTCCTAATTCCATTGACCCGAGAGCCCTTTGGTTAATAGTTTTTGTATGTACTTTAAGACTTTGTGCTGTGTTTTTATATATACAGTTTTTTAAAGGGATCTGTTGCAGAACTGTTTTTACTGTATTTTTTCTGTTTAATATGTCATGAACATTTTCCCATGCCAGTGAATCTTCTTCAACAACAGCATTTTAAAAATTGATGCCTAATATTTATACATATTTGCGGGGCACACATAACATTTTGTTATATGCATAGGATGTGTAATAATCAAATCAGGGTATTTTGAATATTAATCACCTTCTGCTTTTATCATTTCTGTGAGTTGGGAACATTTCCAGTCCTCTCTTCTAGCTATTTTGAAATATAAAAATACATTGTTGTTACCTATAGTCACCCTACTCTGCTATCAAACATTAGTTCTTACCCTATCTGTTTGTACCTACTTAACCAACATCTTTTCCCTCCTTGGCCCATCACATCCTTCCCCACCTCCCGTAACTATCATTTTATTCTCTACCTCCATGACATTAATTATTCTAGTTCCCATGTATGACTGAGAACATTTGTCTTTATGTGCCTCGCTTATTTCACCTACCGTAATGACTTCTAGTTCCATTCATATGGCTGCAAATGATAGAAAATCATTGGTTTTCATGGCTGAGTAGTATTCCATTGTGTTCTTACCACATTTTGTTACTTCATCTGTTGATGGACTCTCAGGTTGATTCCATGTTATCTTTGCTATTGTGAATAGTGCCACAGTAAACTGAGAGTGCAGGTATCCCTTTGATACATTGATTTCCTTTCCTTTAGATAAATATCCAGTAATGAGGATTGCTAGATTATATGGTAGTTCTGTTTTTAGATTTTCAGAAATCTCCATACTGTTTTCCATAATAGGTGTATTAATTTACATTCTCACCAATAGTATATGAAAGATCCCTTTTCTCTGCTTCCTCACCAGCATCTGTTATATTTCATCTTTTTAATAATAGCCAATCTGACTAGGGTGAGATGATACCTCATTGTGGTTTTGATAAGCATTTTTCTGATATTAGAGATGTTGAGCATTTTTTGATGTATCTATTGGTCATTTGTATGTCTTCTTTTGAAAAAGTTTTATTTGGGTCCTTTGCCCACTTTTTAAAGGAATTATTTGGTTTTGCTATTGAGTTGTTAGTAGTCTCTTGTCAGATGAATAGTTTATGAATATTTTCTCCCCTTCAATACGTTGTCTCTTCACTCTGTTGTGTTGTGCAGCTTTTTAGTTTAATATAGTCACATTTGTCTATTTTTGTTTTTGTTTCCTATGCTTTTGAAGTCTTAGCCGTAAAAATATTCTGGAGTGTTTTTCTTGTGTTTTCTTCCAGTAGTTTTATAGTTTAGGGTCTTACATTTAAGTCTTTAATCCATTTTGAGTTGATGCTTGTAAATGACAAGAGCTAGGGGTCTAGTTTCACGTGTTTGCATGTGGATATCCAGTTTTCCCAGCAGCATTTATTGAAGAGGTTGTCCTTTCCCAGTGTATGTTCTCATTACCTTGGTCAAAAATCAGTTGGCTGTAAATATGTGGACTTATTTCTTGGTTCCCTGTTCTGTTCCACATTTTATATATGCGTCTGTTTTTATGCCATTTTAACAACATTTTGAATGACTCTGTAGGTATATCATGATTTATATACCTACTTCCCTATTACTGGGCATTTGTGTTGTTTCCAGTTTTTTGTTTGTTTTTTGAGACAAGGTTTCGTTCTGTTGCCAGGCTGGAGTGCAGTGGCATGATCATAGTTCACTGCAAACTTGAACTCCCGGGCTCACATAATCTTCCTACCTCAGTCTCTCAAGTAGGTGGAGCTACAGGCACACACCACCAAACCTGGCTAATTTTTTAATTTTTAATAGAGTCAGAGTCTCACTGTGTTGCCCTCGCTGGTCTCTAATTCTGGGCTCAAGCGATCCTCCTCCTTCTGACTCTCAAAGGAATTACAGGCATAAGCCACCACGCCCAGCCCCAATTCTTTTTTACAATATATTGTTGTGCAATGAACATTCTTGTGTACATTTCTTTAGAATGAATTCCTAGAAGTGAAATAGCTAACACCCAGAATGCTAAGAATTTTGATATGTATTGCCAAATTACCTCCCAAGAACACTGTACCAGTTTACACCCACCCTCACAGTATAGCACTATTTCCCAATTTTATAGTGAAGAATTGTATTTCACAGGTATCCCAAAATAGGTATATGTATATATAATAAAATTTCTTTTCAGAAATCAGCAGTCAAAAACCATCTCTTTTTATACCTTAGATAGCTTGCTTAGGTATATATACGAAGTTTATTTCTGGCTACTCCCTTTAACCTTGTTTAATCTCTTCCTGATAGATAATTAGTCTAAGTTATTAATATAGCTGAGACCATTTCTGAGGTCCTCCTTTGGTAATAAGAGTTTAAGTCTCTGAAGGAAAACATTTCTTCATAACAGCTTTCTCTGTTTTTTATTTGACAGGCCACACCCCCTGTGACCATTCCAGGATCAGCCAAGTTCACCCCCAATGGCAGCAGCTTCAGCATTTCCTGGCAATCTCCTCCGGTCACTTTCACAGGCATTCCAGTAAGTAGGAAAAAAAAAAAAGCCAAAAATCTGGTCAAAGCCAATATAGAATAAATTTAGAGAACATATAGTAGAGGCATGCAAGAAAAATACAAACTGATATCAGAGTGCCAGAAGTAGTATATTTCTTATGTGATATTTGTAAACTCATCAGCAGGTATCACTTCTCTGCAAAAAGGTATTTTGACTGGTGTTTCAGAAAACTAGGAGAGTTTTAATGGTTCATAAACAACTTGTTGGAAATATATCAAGTTTTTTTGTGTGTTGATAGTGTATTTGTTTCCAAAAGACTATAAAATTAATAGCTGAACTCAGATCTTGTATGGAAAAAATGGTGTTTATCATTATAAGTAACTATAAAATGTATTACTTAGGAAATATTGTTCTGTATGTATATGATTTTAAAGGCTCAAACAAATACATTAAAATCATTTCTTCTTTCAAAGTCTGAATAATCCATGCTGATGGATAATCTGAAAATAAATGAGTGCTGAAATATGCAATCAGAATTAAGTAGGACATAAGAATTGATTTGACATGCTAAATGATTCATGTCTGATAAATCACTGTGAATTAACTTGATTCCTAACCATTCATTTAAAAATATATTGGGTTTTTTATAGTTGATCACAAATAGCCGTAGACATGCACACTGTTGACGTTCACAGTGGTGTATAACTCCTGATGAGGTTCGGGAAGTGGCTTATGATAACAGATATTAACCTTATTTTCTCTTCTCCACCCCCTCCCCAAGGACCTCACAAAAGCTTCTTATTGTCAACCACTGGCAACTCCCAGAGGTTTCCAGCAAAGTCTTAAGCCTTCTGTGGAGCTGATAAAAATGAAAGTGGCTGAATGAATTATGCTGTGCTCTGACGATGAATATTTATTAAATTCCATAGAGGAATAGCCAACAATAAAAAGCATACTGCTGGAAGCAATTTGGGAAATGGTGACTTCCAGAAAAGACTCTGGGAATGTGATTTGTAAACAATACCATGGGTCTGGAGTCATTTTTAAAGTTGTATTTTCATTGAATAGTGTAACTTCTAGTAGCTCTGCAAGAATGATCTTGTTAGTAGACATTAGAAGAGAGCAGCTTAGACGTGTCAGTATTAGTTTTGCTTCTGGCAAGAACACTGATCCACTGATGTGGGTGTCAGAGGTTAACAATCTGTCTGTTTGGGGCCTTTTTTTGGGTAGACATAAAAAGCCCCAGAGTGCCTCTTGATATCACTTTCGAGACAGCCTCTCTGTATTAACCTAAAATGGCTGCCACAAAGAATTATTGAGACCATCTATTCTGCATCCTATTAATTCATTCCTTTGACTTGGGAAGAATTTTCCATGGTGTATGGGAAGCATACACCATGTTGCTCATCTGGTACTATAGCATGTATATAAAACAGCCCAGTTCAGACCTCTTTCAGACTACCTGTGACCAAGCTGGAATGTTTTTCCCCTTTGCTTTTCTAATTAAATTTTCTTCTGAAGTATAGGGAAATCACTTGGAGGGGGCTATTTACTAGCTGCATGTCCTCCATGGTTCTTATATGTCTTACACAGTAGGGTACCAGCCGGGATACCTTATATCATTTGTTTTTCAACAATGGAATGTTAAAAATCTGCTACGGACACTGTATATTTCTACTCTCATTTCAGTGCCCTTCATTTTTTTCAGAATCCTTCATTTCACTCTGCGTTGGTTACCCGGGACATTCTAGACAAAAGGTTTGACAGAAAGTATATACCTATGATATATAAAATATTCTGTAGCTGGGTTAAGTAGGTATTCCACTAAAATCCTATGTGACCTTTTTTTTTTTTTTCTTCCCTGAGACAGGGTCTCAGTCCATAACCCAGGCTAGAGCACAGTGGTGCCATCACGGCTCACTGCAGCCTCAACTTCCCTGGGGTCAGGTCATCTTCCCCACTTCAGCCTCCTGAGTAGCTGGGACTACAGATGTACACCATCACGCCTGGCTAATTTTTGAATTTTTAGTAGAGATGGGGTTTTCCCATGTGGCCCTGGCTGGTCTTGAACTCCTGAGCTCAAGCAATCTGCCCACCTCAGCCTCCCAAAGTGCTGGGATTATGGGCCTGAGCCACTACGCCCGGCTGAAAGCTTCTAATTTATTTTTTCACCAGAGAATTCCCAATCTTGCTGATTGTGTAACCAGTTTCAGCAGAGACTTCAGATTGATTTTAGCAGTCAAGCTTGCCATTCCTATTTAAAGATAAAATAAAGGTGGGGTGGAATTTTCAAAGGCTTTTTACTCTAGGAAGACAAGAAGGTTACAACTGTCGTCAGGTGGGATAATCCTTACCTGTTCCTCCTTTGGAGGGCAGATAGAACACGATGATTGGAGATTCATGAAACGTGATTAATGTCTCTGCGTAATCAGGACTTGCAACACCCTGATTGCTCCTATCTGATTTTAAAAAAAAAAAAAAAAAAAAAAAAAAAAAAAAAAAAAAAAATAAAAAAAAAAAAAAAAAAAAAAAAAAAAAAAAAAAAGGCTACAACTAAGAATGTTCTTTATGTTGCTAAACTCTCTGGCCATGCTTTAAAAAAACATAATAAGCAGGTGCTTGCTGTCCTCCTCCTCCTCCTGGTGGGCTAGCTCTCATGACAGCCCACCCACACAGATGCAGGACTGTTGCACACCCATGGACAGGGTGCCAGCAACTGTCCCTGAATGCCCCAGGAGTGCCAGTCCGGCCCCTAGAAGATGGCAAGCCAGGTAGAATTTAAGAATATGTAAATTCTTACCTTCTAAATTGGTCTAATAGGGTTTTCAGACCAAATCTCTAAAGTTGTAAGTTATAATGAATTTGTATTAATGGTGGCTTCAATTGTATCCAAACTGAAGAGTAGAGAAGTTTGCATGTTTTAAAATGCTTTTCAAAAAAAATACCTTTTTCCTTGTACTCCAAAAAAATACCCTGAGGTTGTCAACTGTTTAGAGTTTACTTTTCTGCCACATCTTTGAGACTTGGTATTGAAGATGGATGCTTCTGTACACTTCCTAGAAAGTGGGAAAAATCCCTTTCTGAAAAATCCCAAGGGTTGCAGGTTTTTATTTATTCATTTGCCTATGCTAGATTTCCTGAACATTGGGTTTTAATAAGTTCCCTGGGTAAGACCTCTTCCTGGAGGTTTGTAGTGGAGAAAGCTGAACTGCATATTTAACAAATGTAACTGGAAGTTGTCTTTTGTAGCCTAAGGCTGTGAGTAGAAGGGTTGGAAAGAGAACATCCTTAATTACAACTTTCTTTGACATGTTTTTCCCTAATGACCTGCCTTTTCTCCTAATTATCTACATTTCTTTCTCTAGTTTCATGACAGAAAACTAAGAGCTTTTGGCCCCTTTATTAATCAGCTCAAGGCTGCCATAAAATACCATAGACTTGATAGCTTAAACAACAGAAATTTATTTCCTCACAGTTCTAGAGGTGTTGGCCAATTCAGTTCTGGTGAAGACCTCTTCCTGCTTGTAGATGGCTGCCTTCTCACTGTGCATGCACAGTCGAGAGAGAGAGAGAGAGAGCGCGCGTGAGCGAGCCAGCCAGCCAGGGAGAGTGAGTATGGAGAAGGAGAGCAGCAGCCTCTGCTATCCTTATAATTATTAGTGTCCTTATAATGTTTTTATAAGGACACTAATCACGTTGGATCAGGGCCCCACCCTTATGACCTCATTTAACCTTAATGACCTCCTTAAAGGCCCTGTGTCAAAGTACACCCACACTGGGGATTAGAGCTTCATCATATGAATTTGAAGGACACAAAAATTCGATCTGTAACAGCCACTAAGCAAGCAAGTATGAGCTAGTCAACCTGCTATCCAAGAGCAGTTCTAGAAGGCTTCAGGCTGTCGGGGAGGATCTCCAAAGATGAAACAGCAGAGCTTAATTGTCAAATGCTTAGCTGGTTTGAGGTTTCTTTTTTAATGCCTTGAGAGAAGGTTCAGAATTATATGAGGTTAAAACCAAGCCAGAGGCTTTTTTTCCCCCTCTTAAGAAAAAATTACAAGAAATTTCTCCTGCATATTTACAGAAGGGCATAGCGTCTCTAGTGTGAGACTTACTTGCAAATCCTGGCTCTGGCATTTGTGAATGCCATGTGACCCTTCCAGAGTAATATCCTCTACTCTAGTACTACTTTACTGAGTTGTGTCATTCACCCAGTGTCTGGCATGTGGCTGACATTGCAGATCTCTTACCATCATTGCTCCCTTTACTGGGTCTCAGCACTGTATAACAGGGGTCAGGGAAAGTGGTTCCACCTGTTTAGAATTGATTCCTGTAACACATATACTCAACACATGGGAGAGATTAGCCACATTTTTATAGACTATAATTTAGAATTCTTCAGACTCTTCTGAGGCCACACTTAACCAGTAGACAAACTATGGACATATAGCCCAATAATTTTATTTAATTAGAAATATTATCATATTGTACTATCCAAATACATTATATGCTTTATAAAACATGCCACAAAATAGAACTTAGAAATGGTTAAGAAATAAATTGAAATGCAGAGACCACTAGAAAAGAGAGTATTTGCTTTATGGAGCTTTATTTTAGGACACACATCACTTCCACCAATGATGTGGCAGGATGGAAGAGTGCAAAAAGCAGGGCTTTGACGTCATTCAGAAGTGAGTCCAAGGCCAGCTATGTTCATGTCAGACAACGGTGTTCAAATCCTGAGTCCACTGTTCACTAACTGTATAGCCTGGACAGTGCACTTAACTTCTCCATTTCCTCATCTATAAAATGAAAATGATGCCTATGACAGGGCAGTTGTGAAGATTAAAATAACATATGGAAGACACTTAGCTTATATAGCAGGCTCTCAGCAAATTACTTCTGCTACTTTTACCTCTGGGATGCTCTGCAGGACAGTTCCCTCCTCAAAAACTAAATTTCTCTATCTGTAAGATACAGATATAGATCGTTTATTTTGCAAGCTTGCTGCGAGAATTCAGAGAGATATCTACTTGCCTGTCTTCCACATTCGCAAGCACTGAATAAATGGTAGGTGACTGCCCCAGTTACTCCCTTGGTTTCTCCACCCTCATCCTCAACCAAAATAAGAAGCTGAAACACGACTATCTTGCCAAGTCTCAAGAAAAACTCACATGTCATATTGAGCCTCCCATTGAACTAAGCCACATACAGAAGTTTGAAGTAGGTCCTGTGTCTTGCTATGTTGTACCCTGTAGAAACGCATGTACTGAACTCTAGAGTTCAGAGAGCTATTAGCAGGAAGAAGGCCTTTGGCGAGGGGTCATGCCTGCAGGAGATGCATATTGTGGTTTGAAAGTGTCCCCCAAAGCTCCTGTGTTGGAAATTTAATCCCCAGTGCAACAGTGTTGAGCGGTAGAACTTTTAAGAGGTGATGAGTCAAGAGGACTCTACTCTCATGAATGGGTTAGTGTCATTATCAAGAGAATGGGTTTGTTATAAAAACAAGTTCAGACTTCTCTTAAGTGCACTGTTACCCTTCTACCCTTTGCCCTGGAATAACACAGCAAGAAGACCATTGTCATATGCAGGCCCTTCAACCTTGGACTTTTCAGCCTCCAGAACTGTAGGAAATAAATTTCTGCTCATTATAAGTCATCCAGTCTCAGGTACTCTGATAGCAGCACAAAACAGTCAAAGATCATCCATATTCCTCAAACTCTGTTCCTGGAATTTTCAAAAGCCAGTTCTTCATGCCTCCCCAACCCTGCTGCTTCCTCAACTTTCTCAACTCAGAAAGTGGTACCACTATCCCTCCAGCCATCTGAGCCGGAACCTGGTATACATACTTGACTCCTCAATTCATCCTTGATTCATCTAAAGATGCCATTTTCTTTGTGCCCCATCCCAACCCACAAGTCCTAGGCTGTGCCTCTAAACGACAGGCATTCAGCCCTTCGCCATCACTGTCCCCATACCTAGTCTAAACCACGAGTATGTTTTTGCCTGAAATACTGCAAAAGACTTTTTTTTAATATATATTTTATTACATTTTAGGTTTGGGGGTACATGTGAAGAACATGCAAGATTGTTGCATAGGTACATACATGGCAAAGTGGTTTGCTGCCTTCCTCCCCCTCACCTATATCTGGCATTTCTCCCCATGTTATCCCTCCCCAACTCCCCACCACCTGCTGTCCCTCCCCTAGTTCCCCCCGACAGACCCCAGTGTGTGATGTTCCCCTCACTGTGTCCATGTGTTCTCATTGTTCATCACCCTCCTATGAGTGAGAACATGCGGTGTTTGATTTTCTGTTCTTGTGTCAGTTTGCTGAGAATGATGGTTTCCAGGCTTATCCATGTCCCTACAAAGGACATGAACTCATCGTTTTTGATGGCCGCATAGTATTCTATGGCGTATATGTGACACTTTTCCCTGTCCAATCATCGATGGGCATTTGGGTTGGTTCCAAGTCTTTGCTATTGTAAACAGTGCTGAAATGAACATTCATGTGCACGTGTCCTTATAGTAGAACGATTTATAATCCTTTGGGTATATACCCAGTAATGCGATTGCTGGGTCAAATGGAATTTCTATTTCTAGGTCCTTGAGGAATCGCCATGCTGTCTTCCACAATGGTTGAACTAATTTACACTGCCACCAACAGTGTAAAAGTGTTCCTATTTCTCCACATCCTCTCTAGCATCTGTTGTCTGCAGATTTTTTAATGATTGCCATTCTATCTGGCGTAAGGTGGTATCTCAATGTAGTTTTGATTTGCATTTCTCTAATGACCAGTGATGAGCATTTTTTCATATGTTTGTTGGCCTCATATATGTCTTCTTTTGTAAAGTGTCTGTTCATATCCTTTGCCCACTTTTGAATGGGTTTGTTTTTTTCTTGTAAATCTGTTTTAGTTCTTTGTAGATTCTGGATATTAGCCCTTTGTCAGATGGGTAGATTGCTAAAATTTTTTCCCATTCTGTTGGTTGCAGATTCACTCTAATGATTGTTTCTTTTGCTGTACAGAAGCTGTGGAGTTTGATTAGGTCCCATTTGTCTATTTTGGCTTTTGTTACCAATGCTTTTGGTGTTACAGTCATGAATTCCTTGCCTATGCCTATGTCCTGAATGGTTTTGCCAAGGTTTTCTTCTAGGGTTTTTATGGTGTTAGGTCTTATGTTTAAGTCTTTAATCCATCTGGAGTTAATTTTAGTGTAAGGTGTCAGGAATGGGTCCAGTTTCTG